CACGGTGAGGCAGCAACTAGCTCAGCCTGACCTCAGCTCTCGCCTTTTTCCTTTTACATTTTTTTTCTTTTCATGATGGGAGTGATGAGGCTCTGCCTCCCCTCCCTCCCCTGACTGCATGTCACTGCTTGGAAGATTATATCAGGTTCTACATAATCCAAATTTGTATTATTTGCTGCTAATAAAACATTAATAGTGGTTGTATGGATATTCTGTGCTGCCAATAAACTCTTTTTTGCATATTAATGGCAACAAACACTATTAGTGGTGCTGTGTAACTGAAGATTTAAAAATAGATCATAGGGATTCAGAGTTTAAAAGGAAATTTAAGAGCCAAAATTTTATTTAAAGTTTTGTCAAGGCTGGAACTATCCAAACAGGAAATATGTAATTGTTTATACAACAAACAAGCTTTTAAAAATATGTATCTATAGCTGTCTATTTGATATATCAACTCTTTTTTCCTTGTCCCAATATGTATCAGTTTTCATGATAAGTGAAAGCTTATCATGGGGCAGGGGAAGGATTAAAAACATCTCCCTTTTGAGAACCTGAACTTGTGTTTCTCTTGCACCTCCATTATTGGCTGCTCACCAAGACCTCTCTGGTGTAATAATTTTTCACTTCTTGGATCCTGATCCTTGTTCTCTTGCCTTTCACCCCACCCCCCCTGAAAACCTAACTAAGATTATCCATTTTCTGGATGGAATTATTAATTAGTTTTCTCACTAGACACAAGAAGCCTATTTCAGAATTAGACTCCAAATGTCTAATTTCCAGTGCTTCCAATTTCTGGGGCAGAACAAGGCAGCTGAAATTTTTATGCAATTTATACTAATTTAAATGTACGTGAAATATACAATAGACCTAAAATATTTTGGCTTTGAATACTGCTACCCTGCATGTTTTTCTACCGATCGTTGTGTATTTGCATTGTGCTCACAGCTATGCTTCTCCAGTTTAGCAAGATATGTCTAACCACTTTCGCTATGTAATAGGCATACTCTTGTTTCAGCTGGGAGTAACAGTTTTAGTGTATTGATCTTCAGTAATACTTTTAGAATAGCCTCTGCATTCTTTCATCAAAATAATATGCACATACCTGTAGAAATCATATTGCTCCACTAATGGAAAATAATTTTCAACATAAGCTTCACTCTGAGTGAGGTATATTGTGAAATCTGTTAGAATCTTCTGAATGGGAAGCTTTTTAGTAAAGGCTGTGATGTTTGAACCAACATCTTCCAGGATATTTTTTATATCTGAAAACAATGGATGCATGTTAAGGATTTCAATTACACTTGCCAGAAAATGACTTGCCACGAACAAAAAGGATTTATTGAACGCCACCTCCAAAAGCAAGACTTTAATGTTGCAAACTCACATGCGGATGCAATGCTTAGGTTTGTGCAATCTTTCATTGTTCATTCCAATGAAACCACAGCCTTATTCTTACCAAGGAGACAAGTCTGTGTCTGCTCTTATGACCAAAAGCCTACTTAATAAAATATGACAGCATTTAATCATGTAAATTCTCACCTGCAACCCAAATGCAATTCTACTACTTTAAAGAGAACAATATGGGACATGTTACAGTGATTTGGCTAAAACATTTGAATCGGATTCATTCTTCTCATTCATTTTACCTTTTGTAATAAATCAAGGCATTCTGCTCACAGAATGATTTCTTGATTTCTTACTGCTTGGTATTATTATTTTACTTGATATTATTCAGAACAGGTAGAAGCCAGGAGCATTTTCAAGTGAAAGGGGCCTTCAGCACTTGTCCTCCTGATGCTCTGGGGTCAACTCTTATCTACTCATGTTTACTTTTTTCAGTCTAAGAGTAATTAAGTAATTAAGAGCTCTTTTGAAATTTGAGGAAGAAAATAATACAAGAGGGAGGACCTGGAAGCAAGAAAAGGGTGAAATGACCCTGGGAAGCAGGAAGACTGGCAACTGGGAGATGAAGCATCTGAGCTATTGAGAACAATGGGATGAGACGAAGAAGTCTCATGCCAATCAAGTATTTGCACCAGGAAGAAAAACAACAGAGAAGTTCTCTAAGTCACTGCGTAAGGCAACAGCGGTTATTTTACTTGCTTTTAAATGTCATAAACATTTGTGCAAGAAACATTCTGGTATGTTACCTGTTCTGAACCGCCCCCCCTTTCATTCACCAAAGCACGCCGGGACAAAGATACTTCAAGGATTTATTAACACAGAGACTAGACCTTGGCAGCAATCCAGCACAGACTACCCTTGCCAGAACTCCAGCCTGCCAAGCTAGCCACGATAGCTTCTCCAGCTCTAGTAAATATGTTGATTCCTGAGATGAGTGTGTGGAAAGCCATTCCTTTTATAGTCTTGAGAGGAACCTAATTACCACCCGCTGAGTACAATTATCTCCTGTAACTGCATAACTGTTTTTTATGCCTATTAGCTCTCTCCGTTGCCTGGCATCCAGGACCAACTCCCTTGTCTCCTCCCCACTGCTCCAATGCAT